CAAAAAGCTGCACTCTTAGCCTCCTCGGTACCCTTCCAGCGATCCAAGTGCTGATGGAGGAGAACGCCCTTTCAGATGCCGAATCAGGCGATGCCAATGATGAACCTACTGAGACCGATATCATGGCGGCTGCAAACAAGATCGTGAAAGAGCACATCAAGTTGTTACACGAATACAACGAGCTGAAAGATGTGGGTCAGGGCTTGATGGGCCTTATTGCGGATCAGCGGGGCGTACGGATAGTCGAAGTTCAAGAGGAGTTTGGCATCGATGCGCAGGACTGATCGCAGGTTTACCAGTGTACTGTGAACGCCAACGGGAGTGAGGAAGCGATAGACGACGGCGTGAACTAGGTGTGAGAGGCGCATGAACACGGCATCTGAGTGTCAAATAAACCTTATACTATATGTACTTCCTCTTTTGCTCTATATGCAATCTGCCGTTCTCAGGCTACACACCACCGTCCCTTGCTTAGTTCGACTGCCCGCTGATCCGTCACGCCAGGCTCGAGGCTCCAGCTCGCCGACTTTGCCAATACCAGCTGATGCCTGTCTCCATCAACAATCTTGGTGGCGATCCTTGGCCTTGACACATCTTCTGACAGACCCCAAGTACAAGTGGACGCGACGAGACCAGTTGCGCAATACGAGCGCATCCTCGGTTCATCCAAGATGCGGCTCACTCCAGATCTGGAGCGGGCCTCTCGAAGCCCGCTCTCTCTGCGGGTAGCGAGAAACTCCGCGCACGGACTGCGAGCCGTGTCGCAGGGACGCGTTTGGCCAGATTGCCGGAAACCGGAGAAGCACCGATTGGAAAGGGAGAATTCCAGAAGATTGGGTCTTGAGAGACAACGCCACATACAATGTAGTTTTTCTTTTGCGACCTGCAGCACGCAGATATCTTCTTGCAAGACTTGGGTTGCAGACTATGGTCAGCTGAGCCAAGATCCTCGTACGATGTTCCATGACTCTGCACATTGCCATCCCGGTCAATGTCGGCCACCAGCACCTCAGCATCATCTTCGACTGGATTGACTGCAACCATCGTCTTGTATAATTGCGGGGCTTCCTCGGTCGTATTCGCTCATGTGGTCAGGGGCAGCGGCGGAAGCTACGAGTGTACCCCGAAGCCACCAGCAGAGATGACCCCATACTTCGATAGGGTCTCATGCGGGTATCAGCATTTGACGCGTACCAACTTCGTCTCAATCATCGGTGCACATCAAATGCAGACTTTGGGCCGTGACGCCCAGCTTTACGCAACAATTGCGGGGAGGTGGGAGTGTAGAAGCTCTGTGTATCAGCCCAGGGGTCAACTGACGAAGTGGCGGTGCAGATTCTGCGTCTTTGGTGTGGAGTCGGATGTCGTGCATTCATGCATTCGCGTCGACGAGTTCCATGAGCGTTGAAGATCCGCGGCCCCACGCAGGAAGGCAACCTTGGGAAAATCTTGAGTATCCCAGTCCTCGGAGGTATTATCGCGACATCTATGTTCATCATTACTTACATGTCATGAAATCGGCGACTGTCGTTCAGCACGCGAGGAGCATAGTAATCATCTTCAACAAGCAGCAAAATCTGGTCTTTCCATTACGTTCCACGAATACGTCAGCCGTGTCCCATTTAAGGTTTAAGATGACACTTACTTTCGGGTAGGAGACACACATCTAACTACAAGTGGCACTCTGAACGTCGGAGGCTATCGAAGGTTAGTGTCCCGCTGGTTGATACCAGGCTAGGCAGCTGGTCCACTCCTCAATGCACGTCTACTCGCAAACGCAAGCGAGGGTCCTTCGGAACACTTGGGATTACTAGCGAGTAGCATCTACACGTGGTGATTGGCAGCTAGAGCATGGCAGGACACCCAAGCCGCTTGCTATGTTGACAGCTCCACGGTGCATGCCGTCCCGTCCACTAATGCCATCCCATTGCTAGTCAGTTACCCATGATGAACTTATCGGCAGTTTGCAACGTGCTTTCTGGAGCGGGCGTGCCTCCTTTTCGGGATCAAGAGCGATATATGGTCGTTTTGAAGACCCTGAGCTCTCCTGCTCTAGGTTCTTTCTGAACGGACTTTCCCTTCCCCAACTTCGGCGTTACTTACACCACACAATGTCGACTACCGTCCAGGACTTCCAGCTTGCGGCTCTGGCCGCCGGCTTCACGATTGGGTTCGGGTTCTTAACAGTATGGGAGGCTGTCAAGCAGACACGGCGGAACCACAGCCCACTACGGTCGGCCTACATCTACATGATATGGGGTGAGATTCTGGTCAATGTCATCATCGGTATCATTGGATGGCTGTTCTTGAACGATAAGCTTGGGCCGACGTTAGTTTCCTGCCCCTACTACACGATATGAGGCCTCATACTAACAAGAATTGCAGTGTTCCTGTCCTATTCTTCATCCTGTTCTTCTGGGTGTGGGAGATCCAACTGCTCATGCAAATCATCATCAACCGCATTGCCCTCATCGCAGAACACCGGACTACCATCCGCAACCTCAAATGGGGAACAGTAGTCCTCATCACCAGCATTAACATCGCCGTCTTCTGTATCTGGATCCCATCGCACACTGTCCCGCCAATCAGCGAAACATTCGTCAAGATCAACAACGTCTGGGACAAGATCAGCAAGGTGCTCATCTTGATCGTCGACGCAGGCCTGAACTGGTACTTCCTGCGCACCGTTAAGATCAGGCTCGTCGAACAACACGGCCTGACCAAATACGCGCCGCTTGTAGGCTTCAACGGCAAGCTAATGGTCGTCTCCATCGCCATGGACGCCCTTCTCATCGGTCTCATGTTCCTCAAAAACCAAGTCGTATACATCCAATTCCACCCCGTCGTCTACATGGTCAAGCTCAACATCGAAATGTCCATGGCCTCCCTCGTCGTCCGCCTCGCGCAAGGCAAGCCCCAGAACGATATGAACCCCGAAGAATTCCACAGCTCCTCAGGCCCCGACTCGCACTCCCGCTCCAACGCACGCTCGCACCAACCGCATTCAGTGCAGCTTACCAACCGATCTAAACGCAATACGACCAACATGCGCAGCACGGGGCTGAGCAAGATCGATAGTGACGAGAGTCTGGAGCTAGGTGGTATCCAGTGTAGAACCGATCTACATATCACACATGAGGATAGGAAAGATTACGTTGACAGGAAAGATTTCATAGAAGGTAGCTCGAGGAGTAGCAACGACGCGCCGGCGCCTAGTGTGTTTGGGGATGAGACGCCGTTGAAGCAAGGGACGAGGATACAAGAAAGGGAGATGTGAGGAGCGCTTTCATTTGTTTATTGAGCGGTTGTAATTAATGATACCCGTGGATATGTAATCAGAATTGGTCACTACAAGGACGCCGTCGCACACTGAATGACAGGCCTCATCATCAGCTTCCACTAACCCGTCTACTCACTGACAAGCCGGACGTCTAGCCTTCCCATCAAATGCCGGTGCCAGTTCGAGCTCTTCTCTCCCCACCGGCGGCTTTCTGGCCCGTGCTCACTTGATCCCAGCACGCGCGCCTTCGTCTTCACTCTCACTTCAGCTCAGACCCAACAATTGGACAGCCGCCTATTGTTCGGTCTCGCTTATCTCGCTGCCGATAGTTCATCCGGAGGCCGAGCGCACGCATATATGTTGCGCTCCACCTCCGCAGTCCAACGCTTCTACTCCCCACTGGTTCGCAGAAGAAATCCACTACAACGACCACCACGACTACCTCGACGCGACACTTTCAGCTGCCATGGTAAGGTTTCTCTTGCGTGTCTTTTGTTCATATAGTCATTTCCACAGTCAAGCATCTCTTTCCTTGTGTCTCAACTCATTTCCACTGTCAACCTTTCCTTTTTCCTTTTGTCTCCAACCATTTACATCGGTATACATACTGTTCACACTTATCTTTTCTCAACTCCTCAAGTCATTTCCACTGTCATTTCTATTGTCTAACCCTTACTTAGGCACTTAATCACTCTCTGCGAGACACTGGCGTCACCCACTGCGACAGCAGTTTGCTTTCGACTTCAGGATCCTAAACCACGATTGTTTCTAGATTGGTTGGTCGCACATATCGTCGCGACTTCGACAAGGATCGTACGCGGAGATGGGTATAGAACTGAACTTGAGGTCGTGGTCTAGGCCTAAGTCTGGGTTCTCTGATGTTTTGGTTTCGATGATTAGTATCGGCGCGCATATGATCAAATCTTGTCGGACTTCCCTTGGGCTTGTATATCAATCAGTGGAACTCCATTCCTATCCGACCACGTTCTTCCCATGTGTTCTCCCTCATTGTGGTGCTCTTGGTTGCCTAATCATTCACATGACGTCACCCCCGCCTCCACACGCGACGCGTTCTTCAACCTGGACGAGTCCGAACGACTGCTAGCACATCATCATGTCTTCCTCATCTGGAAACTCTCTTAACGCATTCCTATCGCGTTGCGATATCGGTAACCTGTATAACTACACTTCGCGCGTTATTCTGGAGCTGGCCCTCCTCGGCTACACAGATGTTGCAGGGCGCCTACTAAGCAGTCTCAACAACCATGACTTTTACCACGACCGATTCGGAAGCCTTCGGTCTCTTTGGTTCCTCTGGAACCTCCATGCGCGAGCAGATGGTGTGTCGTGGCCTGAAGGCGAGGAAGAGAAGGTGCGACAGGCTGTGAGGAAGAGACGAGCCAAGACCAAGGGCGACGATACTCGAACGGAGGATGACGAAACAATAACACCAGACGATGTACAAGAAGAGCTGAAACTTTTCGCTAAAGATTTTGCAACGAAATGGTATTATCCCATTGGTATGCCAGACTCCGATCGCGCGGTGGCATTCAACACCCATAAGCTGGACCGCCCGTCCACCACTGCTCAGATGCTTGATTACATACGAGATATCATTCATAGCTTTGAGATTGCACGTCCAGTAGCCAAAATCAGGGACGTGAGGAGCGGGCTGGTAAGCGCTTTGGATATGGTGTTGTTGTGTGAAGCGTATCATGAACAGCACCCCAGGGACGCAACACTACGTAAGTCGGGCGCCCCGACATCCTATAAGCTATTACATTGGCTAGCGCACAGCCTGGGGGAGCAATCGTATGAAACCCAGCCAGCAATGGAGTCTTGGCAGGTATGGAAGCTATACAAACGTGGAGCGCTGAGACAACAATTCGACATCGATGAAGCAGCGCTTGCGAACTTCGCCCAAGACTTCGAGCATACTGTGACCAAGCGACTCGCAAACGGTCGAAGTAAACTGAGGTCAAACCTCTCCGTCCAAGAACTCTTGAAAGCGGTAGAATACAACACGCAGACCAACCCGAAGGCCAGACAATATAGTAACGCGAACGAACAGCCACCCGAGACTTCCCTCTTCAATGCCCCCGCAATAGAATCCCAGATCGAAGAAGCCGAGGCCCGTCTCAACATCACTTTGCCCTCCGACTACAAAGCTTTCCTCCGCTTCAGCAACGGCTTTGGTTCCGCATGGGGTCACCCACTAGGCGACTTCCAAACACCCCTCCACTCCGTCGACAAACTACGCTGGCTCGACCCCACTGAAGAAGACTACTTCACTGATCTCTCGCTCGACCTACCAACCCGATGGGATAAATGGCCATTCGCCCCACCTCCAACAGCCAAGGCCTATGCCTGCGACGACGTTTCGGAGCATTTTCTCATTGGTCGTGCCTTGGAGATTGGTACACAGGAGATTGATAATACGTGGCTCCTCCCGCCTTCCACCATCATGCCGATAAAGCAGGCTGTGAAGAAGATGCTGGACGACGGGAGCTTAGGTGAACGCGAAAAGAATAGTGTGAGAGCCGCAATAAGGGATTTCGCGGGTAGCGAAGAGGAGTGGGAAGAGATGGAGTGGGCGTGTGCTACTTGGGCTAGTGGAGGGGTGGCGGCTATGTATGTTTATCCGGGGTTTAGGACGTGGCTTGAGGATGTTGTGGAGAAGGGGAAGGTTGGGTTGGATGGTGAGGAGGAGGAAGAGAAAGAGAATTTGTTTAAGCGTGGCATGTGGTTGGGGAGGGTGTTTGAGACAAGAGAAAGTGGGGGCAAGTTTGACGCGGATGGGGATGGGGAGGAACTGCCGGGGTGGTTGAAGGATGCTATCAGAGCGGCGATGCCGACAAGAAGGTAGCCAAGACGAGATTCAGCTCGGACTGAGTCGCTCCAAAAGACAGCAGTTTCTGGATATTTGGCTTGAGATAGCTCTTTTGAGGAGATTCCGTGCTTGTAGAGAGCGGCCGACGGTGGTATAAAAGCCGTCCTTCTTCCTGTCGATCCCCTTCTTCATATCTCATAAAATACCCAGACAATTACCAAAATGAATCTCTGAAGTCACCATGGTTGTCTCTCCTCCGCTCCTCGGTCCCAAAATTTGGAGAGGCGTGATGCATAATCCCTTCCTTCGTTCAAAGTGCGCGGTTCCACGCTCATGTGTGCGAGACAGTATCATAAAAACAAAAGGAGTTGACTGAATGGTCAAGTTTCTGTCGCCTCGAAACAAGTACTCAACAACGTCTTGACTCAGAACAGTACCAGAAAATTTCATGAGCCGCCTCTGTCTTCCAAACTTGATGGCAGTCAGGATGATGAGCTGTCTACGCTGGTCTCGGAATAAAAAGGCCTGCAGCAAGCTCACGTGATACACCGAAAACATCAAGCGCTGGTATTATGATTCTGGAGCGCTGACTAGGTATACATACCGCACCTCTTGAGTGTTTCTCCTACTATATCAACATCCTGGATCGAAACCGAAAAGATAGATGGGACATCTTCATGTCCTGAGCGTCTTGTTCTTCTCTCAAAACACATAGGTAAACATTCCATGGTTGGAAGAAAGAAGACTAAAAGTCTATGCATTAGTTGCTCTGAGCATCCCACATCTACACTTCCAAACACTCTTACTTTCTTCCCGGAACAGCGAAAAGTCATGGCTATCGATACATGGACCACAAAGCCTATCATCACATTACGCAGAGTGATACAAAATGGGGCTTGATTACATTGATGATCTTCTCCGCGGCCCCCGACTACGGGAAGTGTGTGTGTGTGTGTGTGTGTGTGTGTGTGTGTGTGTATATAAAAACGCCTTTCATACCTCACCGTTCTTCTCTCCTACATCCCACAAGCTTTTGCTTGTGTTCCAAAAGATTATGGCAGCACTGCGATGTCTGCGTCTCCCTCTCTCTTCCAAAACCATCTTAAAGTTGTCGCATGTCTCTGGCCTGGTTCTCGAAAATCGTACGAGTCCTGACTATGTCTTCGGTCGCTAGAACATCAAGGTATATCAAAATTGATCCCATGAAAGCATGTTCCAGATCTCAGTCCGAAGACAAAATTCTTCCTGCTGCACTTTCAATTCTACACTCTTTCTCCAAAGCAAAACTGCATATTACGATGTCTGCTTCTCCGCCCTTTCCCCCAAACCAGTCGGAGTTCGCTCATGCTTGTGGAGATGTCGCCGCCAGCCTACCCTTCTATGAAAGCATAGAAGGTTCCTCATCCACGAGATACGTTCTTGCGACCTACAGCATACAGCCTCGTCTTTTCTTCCAAGCCAAAGGCAAACATCGATATGTCTGCGACTTCCGCTGCTTTTTCAAAATACGATTTGGCATTGGCATGTTCCTGGAGAGTTTGGCGATAAAATGGGGACGAAGAAAAGCATGTTCATAATCACCATTGGTTCAACTTGATGTGCCTGTCCGTCTTTGAACTTGCAACTATCCAAATGATCGAAGTACAGTTGCATGGGGAGGAGATTGAATCCGCACATATACCGCAGAATGGAAATTGGAGAGCCTGAATCAATATCTCGAACGGATCATGTGCGTCCTCCCTGCGCTAAGCGGGAGACGTATATAAGACTAGCTTTTGTCTCCCTCACCCCATTCGCTAAAATCACCTCTCCTGGGTTTGGAGAACCAAAACATGTAAATCAAGACACTATGAAGATTAGCGAGAACCATAACGATCGATGAGACCCTCAATGTCTGGCCTGCTTCGACTGTTTCCGAGCTATGTTGAAATACTGTTATTCCGCTCTTCCTCCTACTATTTCTTCCTGACCTACTTTCTCGGGTCAAAAGCCAAAAGCGTCCTTGAAGAAATCGATGAGAAGCGAAAGACTAAATGTTACAGTAGCTAGAGCAATGTCCGTCTTGCGCTGAGCTGAGCTACAAAATGCAAGTGTTTCGTCATATGCTCTCCTTTGCGCTACTTCTCTACATCCTACACCCCAGCCAAAGACAAAAAAGTCAGAATCGCGGTGTCATGGGAAGCAGACAACCAAAAATCGGATATCAACTATTCCATGTCTGAGTTGTCCACTTCTAAAAATCTTACACTCCAGAAGATGTTTCCCATCTTCCCTCTCGTTACTTCTCCGCAATCCACATTCTGAAGGATTCTTCGAGATAAGCAGGCAGAAGAGAAACGAAAAGCTGAGATCTCCAAGGAACAACGTATCATGCTCATCATGGGGACTCGCTCCGACCTGGCCTACCAAAGATGTTAACGCTGCTTATCATGTCCTTCGGACTACCCAAAAGAGTGGCTACTCTACCTAAGATACCAAAAGAAGAGGGCAAATTCACATGAGGATTAGAAGATGAGAACCATCGTATCACCAACCCGATGACTGCGCTGCTCACGGCGGAGCGAGAGGGTTATAAAAGCCGCTGTCCTGCAGTACTTCTTACTTCCTCACAAGTTATAGATCCAGAGTAATTACTAAAAAAGATAGAGCAATGTGCATGAGAGCAGGAACGGGAAATCAAAGATGGCATCCATCCAGCTACGTGCTCAGATATTAAAGAGAGAGAGTGTCCAAACATCGGCTGGCAGAGCGAAGTGTAGCAAATGGATTGCATGTCTAGAACGTCGGGCGTGTCCTGCCATGAGACGCGTGTTGTGTCGGGCAAGTCCCACGAAAATTGCGTGTATCGTTCATATATTACATTACTTCGTATGATCTATACATATTCGCACTCAGCCAGGTCGTCTGACTTTCTGCAACCTATTCCTCCATTCCCCAACCTTCTCATCCTTCCTTTTACTTTGCTCATCCGCTCCATTCTTGTTCTCACCCCCTTCATCATCTCGAGACCCTTCACCTGAGGCACTGGCATCGTGGCCTTGACTTCGTCCCTCGTAACCAGGCAGCTCGTGATTTCGTTCCCACAACCCCTCCCCCACAAGCGTCGCCTCGCGACTAAGCGGCTTGCGACTCAACCGCGCCTCTTCCACACCGCGTAGATACCTCTTCCTCAGTTCCTCGTCACTCAGTACATGAACTGAGATATCCGTATTCGACCTAGCCAGCGGTCTAATCTCCATATCCTGATCTTCAGTCGGAGAAGTCATCCACGCTTTCTCCTTGCCCGCCGACACGAAAGTAGGAGTTGGCGTGGATAACAAGGGTGTTGGTGACATCGGCGTGATGGGCGACTTGACCGCACCATCTGTATCGGTTTCCGTGTCTTCGAGGTCCTGCAAAAAGAGCCCGTGATCCACAACCGTGCCTCTTGTCCCTTTTTTGCCGTATAATTGTCTGCCCAACGCCCTATTCTTGGCGCTGATGAGGTCTTTGCCGCTTAATCCCGTGCGCCTCCTCGCCGCCACGGCCATCGCGAACGCCGCGCGCAACGGCGTAAGTCTGTAGCCCTCCTTCACCAGCGTGGAATTAAATTGCGCGTCCTGCCACAGCACATACATACTAAAAACCCATCCACTTGTCACAAGCATGAACAAACCAGACATGAGTGTCGCGAAACCCCATTGATATGTCGGATTGGCGGTGTCGGGGAGGCAGCGACTTCTCCCCATGAGCGCGTCGTACTCATACCCGATTCCATTGTAGCAGTACCCGTAGTTTGTGACGAGGTCGTCGGCGTTGTACGTCTTGCCACTAACAGGGACAGAGATGCTGGTGTTGCAGAAATGAGAGATGGTCTTATCGGTGTAGGTGTCTTGTTCCGTCCAAGTTTGCGTATTGTTGGGGAAGTCGAAGGTGCAGTTGAGAAAAAGATCGTCATAACGAACATATGAGTTGTGGTAGTAGAGGTCTGTTTGGTAGGCGGCGGTTACGATGGTGCCGTTGGGGAATTTGCAGTCACCTGTTTTCGTTGGTGTTAGTATATCGGAGGATTCTTGGAGAAGCGTTTGGATCGTGGGTGTGGGTATGTGAGGGGCACGGTGGAGGACAACGTACAAGCTTGCCGTCTGTGATCCATGATGTAGCTGAAACTACTGTGCAGATTGCGATCCGCACAGCCCGGTTGCTTCCACGTCTCGTTCTTGGTGCCTATGATAACCCACGAATCTTGCAATTGGGAAGCGGGAATGATGTTATTTGACCCGTCGATATCGAGCCATGCGATGGACGTGCTGTCGTAACCTGTCATGGCGCCGAGGACAATGGGTACAAGAAGCACGTATCCCGTTGACCAGAACATGTAGAAGAACAAGAATCGCGTCCGTATACTCTTCGCAGTCCACAGCTCTTTCGTCAACTCCCATAAACAATGCAAACCGGGCCCTTCCATAGCCATCCTCTGGAAAATGCTAAAGCTCGCTGGATGTCGTTCTATTGCCCGTAGTAACGCGTCACAGAAGACATTATACGTGGCCCACCATGCCAACGCCTGTGCGCCTTTCCCAATAAGCAAATCCCAGAGGATATCAATCGTCTTGGCCTGCGAGAAGGTGAATTGGCCCCACGTAGCGTCCAGCGCAAAGAGGTTCTCTATTCCCCTCACGGTCGCGTTTTGGGGGTCTCCGCCGATAGTGTTGCCGCAACCCATCGTCTTGTCTCTGAACATATATCTCACGGGTGTCACCGTGCCCATTGCAAATATAGGCAGGATGACCGAGACAAATAAGATGAGAAAGGCATAGAACTGCTTCTTCGACCACCGGAAGTGTTTCCATAACGGCGCGTTCTTGATCGTCCGCGCGGTCCATTTTGTGGCATGCCAGATACCCAGACAGGCGTCGTGGAACATCCAAGTCCAGCGTACTTTCCACCGCGGTTTCGACGGCCAACCTCGCGGTGAGCATGTTGCCTCATGCACACTATCATTTCCCCAGGTTTTGACGCGTTCATGCTTCTTTGCACTCTTTCCTTCCGAAAAA